ACTTGGGCCATCCTCTGCTTTCCCATGCTACAAGCAGAGAGCTGAGTGGATGAAGCTGGGACTGCACGGTGCCCACAGGGTGGTCAGCACGCCCAGAGCAGTGGGACTAGCTGTGTGCCGCAGTGCTCATTCTTCGATGTTTCTGCCACGTGTCAGCAGCAGGAGGAAAGCTTCTTCCTGCCAAGTTAGCGAGGCATGCCTGCCTTCAGGGGCACTGAGCGGGCTGTGCAGCCCCACCAGTTTCCCAGAATGCTGTGGCTGAGAGTGAGGCGGGAGAGCCAGGGTCAGAGGTCAGTAGCCTGGGCAGCCTGCTGGGGTAGCAGGGTCCCTGGTGCCTGTGTGCTGCCCCCAAGCTGCTCTTGCAGTTAAGCTGCAGGGAGGATGTGACCCTGCTGGTCTGTGTGGGCAGTGGGCCCAGTCCTCCCTATGTGCACCCCTCATTGCGTTGAGGTGGCCCCAGCACAAGAAGGTCTGTCCCACCCCAGCTGTCATTGCAGTGACCAGGAACATGTCCTTCAGACAGGAGACCTGAGCTGCACCTGAGGCTTGTGCAGCCACTGCCACATGCCAGTTGGGCGTGTGCTGTGGGAGTGTGAGAGAGAGTGCCTCCCTGCAGGACAGCTGGTCTGAGAGCAAGGGTGTGCCTGCAGCCCAAGGCACGATGGGGGTGCCCCCACCCCTCTCTGGCCTTGGATGCAGGATTTACTGTCAGCCGAGAAACACTGTGGGGCCAAGCAGACATGGAATGGATCAGATGAAGACCATTTTTGACAACCAGGGAAAAGAGAACCATCATTATAGCTGTTTTTTTTTTTTTTTTTTTAAGATTTGTTTTATTTTTATTAGAAAGTCAGATAGAAGAGGAGAGACAGAAAGAAAGATCTTCTGTCTGATGATTTACTTCCCGAGGGGCTGCAACAGCTGGAGTTGCGCTGATCTGAAGCCAGGTGCCAGGAACCTCCTCCAGGTGTCCCACACGGGTGCAGAGTCCCAAGGCTCTGGGCTGTCCTCAACTGCTTTCCCAGGCCACAGGCAGGGGGCTGGATGGGAAGTGGGGCTGCCAGGATTAGAACCAGTGCATGCAAGGCGAGGACTTTAGTTGCTGAGCTACAGTGCTGGGCCTTGTGAAGAGATTTTAACAACATGCCACAGAGAGAAGACCAGGGCCAGACACCAGCCTCATCGTGTGTCCTCTTTTTTAAAAAAAATTAATTAATTAATTAGTTTTATTTATTGTAGTGCATGTCCTCTTGCTACCCATGTCCCGTGTCCCCAGCACTGGCTGCTGCTCCCAGGAAGGCAGCAGGTGGTGACACGGTGTGTGGGTGCCTCGGCCTCGGGGAGTCCGATGGAGCTCCTGTTACAGCTTTGACCTTTATCTCTTCCTCCCATCTTGTCTGTTAGTCAGCCTTTCAGATAATCTGCCTTTTAAAAGTTGACCAGGAGAGAGAGATCTTCCATCTTCTGCAGTTGCTTGCAACAGCCTGCACTGAGTGGGCAGGCCAGGTGCCAGGGACTCCAACCTGCTCTTCGCTGTGGGTGGGAGGAAGTTACTACCACTGCTTCCCAGGGCACACCTGGGGAAGGAGCTGGAGCTGGAAACAGAGCTGGGCCTCAAATTGAGATACTTGCTGCTGCGCCCAGACCCAGCCCTGGAAAGGCAGTACTGGTGTGTGACCAGGACAGCCGAGCAGACAGCTGATGGTCAGTCTGGTGGCTGGTGGGACATGACCCGGTGCTGGACAGATCAGCTCTGCACACGGGTGGCCTCTAGGACTGCCCTCCAGAGAAGTGGGTCCAAGGGAAGGCCCTGTTCTGACAGCTGCCCCCAAGCTGGGCTGTGGCTGGCCTATGCTAACACAAGAAAAATGGGTATGTAGGACACCTGATAATCGTTGCTTTTGCTTGTTCAGATGGAAGTATTTCAGGTGTCTTGGCCCACTGAAATATCTGCAGCAGCTTCTGTGTGTCCAGTTGACTCAATCACGGATGTGTGCCCCATCGTTCCGGGGTAAGCCACCTGCTAGGCCACATGGACACTTCTGTGCATGGAGGCCGATGCCGCCCTGATGGGCCAGGGTTGTGCTGGCTCGCCTTGAACTGTGTCAGGTGTCCGTCTGGTGGCATTGAGCAGCAGTGGGGGCTTGTCTGCCTGCCGTGTCTCGTTTTTGTTTCCTATTTCCTGTGCTGTTATCTTTGCTTGTCCATCTCTTCCCCTTTGTGGGCTGATGAGGTTTCCTTGTTCCTTTTCATTTCCTCTTGTATTTGACTTCTCAGTGCTGCCCCAGTGGAGAAGGTCACAGATGTGTGCCCATCATTCCGGGGTAAGCCACCTGCTAGGCCACATGGACACTTCTGTGCATGGAGGCCGATGCCGCCCTATGCTGTTTGTAAAGATCTCTCCTTGCTGCGTCAGCGTGTGCAGCTGTGCGTTCTTGCGTGCTCTGAGCTGAACTCCTTGCCAGCTGTGTGCGTTCAGACATCTCTCCAGGCTTCAGTCGTGTGCTGCCTTTTGCTCAGTTGTCTCAGAGTGGACGTTTCAGGATTGATGAGCACTTGGAGGGTGTTGACTCCCACTGTCTATGCTGTCTCCATGTGAGAGGCTTGTACCTCCCTTCTGATATGGGTCTGTGATTGGGTGATGTTCACTGACTGTTGGAGCTGAGATGTCTTGATTAGTCTGGTTTGTTCGCAGCCCTGGCTCTCATGCTCACCAGCAGAGGAGTGCCCACAGTTACCCTGCTAGGCTCGCTCCCAGCCCTGTATCTTGTGCTTGCCATGGGGCTACTATGGTCCAACTTGATATGACTTATACCCAGTCCTGGTGCTTGCCAGTGGTGCTCACCACATGCAGGGTATGTGCTGCATACCTGCTCCCCTCCCCTCCCTTCCCATCCCTTGATTCCACTTGTCTCTGGGGAGTTTGTGTTAGCGACTGCTCCGAGAAGTAGAATTGTGTGCTGTCAGAGTTGTGTGCTCTCAAGGCTGTCCCAGTGTTCATCGCTCAGGGATGGGCATTGGGCTGTGGAGAAGGGTGCCATAGCAATCACAGATGTGCAGGTTCCTGGGAGTGCCCCAGGATGGGACTGCTGGTCATGGGATAGTCAGTGCTGCTTTTTGTAAGGGAGTTAGGTGTGTGAGGGAGCACAGGGGCACACTCACTGGGCTCATGTGTACAGGGAGCATGGGGTCAGGCCTCGCCCTCAGGATCTCAGGCTTGGATCTTGGCTGTGGTGCTCCATCCTGGGTGTTTGCGAATGGCCTGGTTGTGTGGGGCACTGCAGTAGGTTCTGTGGGTTCCAGCTCCTCCCAAGGTACGTCTTTGAAAGCAGGATTGGCGGGGAGGGGTCTTGTAGGCTGTCCTGAAATCACATGGCTCCCACTAGGCCCACCCTGGAGCTGCCCACCTGGTGCACTGCTTCGCAGCCCCCCCTGTCCCACTCTGCCACCATTCCTCAGGGTGTGCTGTGCTCAGGTAACCTCCTACTTGGTTCAGCATCACCAGGCCTGCTGGTCAACACACAGGTGTTGATTGTCCTGTCAAGCCTGTGGTGATGAGGTTGTCTGCATCAGCCACCTGGGAGAGACAGCCGGGGTCTGATACTGGCTGGGCTCCAGTTCGTGCTTTGGTCCCTGGGGGAGTGTTCCCTGTGCTCCCACTCCTGCCTTTGCCCCAGGTCCCGGTTGCCCAGCACCCCTGCCTTTTTCTGCTGAGCACATGCTGCACAGGTGGTGCTGTGTGCTGCTGGAGTCTTCCTCTTTGCTTAGTGTGGCAGGAGGGGCTGTGTCCCTGTGACCGCAGTGGGAGTGATGGCCACTCGGCATTGCATGGTGCTCACATTGCAATCTCCCTGGGGGGCCTGGGGTGGAGTGCCCGGTCATGCCCAGGGTCCAAGGAGCCGGTAGGAAGGGGTGAGGTAGGGGGAGTGTAAGGTACAATCCCCAGAAGGTCAGAAATGGTAACTGTAGATTCTGATTTATTCTGTGGGACAGGTAAAAGGAAATGCTCTTGGGGGGATGTTTTCCTGAGAACCCACAGCCTCATTGTGCCCCACAGTGAGTGTTCCAGACACTTGCCAACTTCCTGTGTGGCTGGGTGTGACCAGCGAAGCCCGCCATGTCCTGGGTAGCTGACAGACACACACAGTGGGCTCTTTGGAAAGCGGGGCTGTGCTGTGTCTACAGATTTGTGTCATGCTGGCTATGGGTCCTGGTCAGGTTACAGGGTGGACCTGTCCTGAGAGAATGCATCACATTCAGAACTGCTTGCTTATGTTATGGGCAGGCAGGTGGCATTCACATGCTCACCACCGTGTCCTTGTCTAGGTTCCCTACGAGACACTGAACAAACGCTTTCGGGCTGCTCAGAAGAACATTGACCGGGAGACCAGCCACGTCACCATGGTGGTGGCTGAGCTGGAGAAGACCTTGAGCAGCTGCCCCGCCGTGGACTCGGTGGTCAGCCTCCTGGATGGCGTGGTAGAGAAGCTCAGTGTGCTCAAGAGGAAGGTTAGTGCTGCTCCTGGCTGGCATAGCCACCTGGTTACAGGGGTGGAGGCCTCTTTGTGGGGGCGAGGTAGGGCTGGTCTGAAGTCCTGAGCTGGAGCAGCAAGCTGTCACTGCTGGTCACTGTGACCACTGGTCGAGGCAGCTGTGCTGTCAGCACTGTGATACATGTTGAACTGAGTCCTCAGACCAGGGGTATAGGGTGGCTAGGGCGGGAAGCTGACCTGATTAGAGTTGGGGCTAGGAGCTGTTTACTGCTGGGACTTCACAGGAAGTGCTTACACACAGTGGTTGGAAAGAGGAATGTGAACTGTAGACCCCACAGGAAGTGAGGAATGTAGACTGTAAACCCCACAGGAAGTAGGTGGAGTGAGGAGTGTAGACTGTAAACCCCACAGGAAGTAGGTGGAGTGAGAAGTGTAGACTGTAGACCGTACAGGAAGTGAGGAGTGTAGACTGTAAACCCCACAGGAAGTAGGTGGAGTGAGGAGTGTAGACTGTAGACCCCACAGGAAGTGAGGAGTGTAGACTATGAACATCACAGGAAGTAGGTGGAGTGAGGAGTGTAAACTGTAAACCCCACAGGAAGTAGGTGGAGTGAGGAGTGTAGACTGTAGACCCTACAGGAAGTGAGGAGTGTAGACTGTAAACCCCACAGGAAGTAGGTGGAGTGAGGAGTGTAGACTGTAAACCCCACAGAAAGTAGGTGGAGTGAGGAGTGTAGACTGTAGACCCTACAGGAAGTGAGGAGTGTAGACTGTAAACCCCACAGGAAGTAGGTGGAGTGAGGAGTGTAGACTGTAGACCCTACAGGAAGTGAGGAGTGTAGACTATGAACATCACAGGAAGTAGGTGGAGTAAGGAGTGTGGACTGTAGACCCCACAGGAAGTGAGGAGTGTAGACTGTAAACCCCACAGGAAGTAGGTGGAGTGAGGAGTGTAGACTGTAAACCCCACAGGAAGTAGGTGGAGTGAGGAGCATAGACTGTAGACCTGACAGGAAGTGAGGAGTATAGACTGTAGATAGCACAGGAAGTTGATGGGGTGAGGAGTATAGACTGTAAACATCAGAGAAAGTGGTTCAGGAGAAGAACTTAGGGTCCACAATGCCTTAGAGACTGCATTGACCACCTAGCTGCTGCTCAGTACAGCAGAAAGGATGCCCACCACCTGCCTTACCTGTGCCCAGCATCTGCCCATCACTCCTTCCAGCTATGTTTGTGAGGGTTGTCCTTAGGTGAGCAGTTGTGCTGAGGTGAGTGACCATGCTGAGGTGACTATCCTGAGGTGAGGGGCCATCCTGAGGTAAGCGGCCATGTTGAGGTGAGGGGCTGTCCTGAGGTGAGGAGCCATGCTGAGGTGAGTGGCCATCCTGAGGTGAAGGGCTGTCCTGAGGTGAGCAGCTGTCCTGAGGTGAGTGTGCTGACTGTGCTTGCCGTGGCAGGCAGTGGAGTCCATCCAGGCAGAGGACGAGAGCGCCAAGTTGTGCAAGCGCAGGATTGAGCACCTCAAGGAGCACAGCAGCGAGCAGCCTGCGGCGGCTGGCGTGTGGAAGCGGAAGCGCATGGACCGCATGATGGTGGAGCACCTGCTGCGCTGTGGCTACTATAGCACGGCTGTGAAGCTGGCCCGCCAGAGTGGCATTGAGGTGGGCCCGGGAACTTCCCACAGGACTGGCCACGTCCGCCCCATGCCTGTGCGGCTGACTGCTGGGTGGGCAGTTGGGACAGGCAGGTTGGGGGACATGGGACAGGTGCCTCTGTGTGCATGCGTGCGTCCCTGGGGCCTGGGGAGCAGAGAGCTTGGATGTTGGTGAACATACTGTGAAGGGGGCACCCAGAATCCCCACGTGGAACCCCTGATTCACACTGGAAGAGTGGGCTCTCGCAGTGCAGCAGATGAAGCCCAGGCAGCACTAAAGTTGGGATCAGGGAAGTCTCCAGAATGGCTGTGTCTGCTGCCCCTTGCTCCCATGGGCATCGGAGAAAGAGCACGAAAGATCCAGAAAGATGCGGCCCGCAAGGCTGGGTAGGACAGACAGGAGCTGCCTCTTGGTTGAGAGCAAGGTTTTAGGACAGAAGTGGGAAGCAGCCGAGAGATCAAGGTGCAGATTCCGGGATCCAGTGAGGATGGGAATGGAGGTGACCCCCTGCTCCGCAGCCTGGAGTCCACCATGGGTTGTGGGGTGTGGCACATACAACTTGAGCCTGTCACATCTGGGGTGCACTGGGGAGAAGGCCAAAACAGCCATAGGTGGAACCCCAAGTATATCTAAGCAGGTGGATTTTTTTTAAATTTTTATTGCAAAGGCAGATTTACAGAGAGACGGAGAGAAAGATCTGTCCACTGGTTCACTCCCCAGGTAGTCACAATGGCTGGAGCTGAGCTGATCCGAAGCCAGAAGTCAGGAACTTCTTTAAGGTCTTGCATGTGGGTACAGGGTCCCAAGGTTTTGGGCTGTCCTTGACTGCTTTCCCAGGCCACAGGCAGAAGCTGGATGGGAAGTGGAACAGCCGAAACACGAACTGCCGCCTGTAGGGGATCCTGGCACGTGCACAGCGAAGATTTAGCCACTGGGCCATGGCACCAGGCCCACAGCAGGCAGATCTTGAAGCTGCTGATTCTGTGGGGTACATGGGTGATAAGGGGTGGCAGTATGGAGGAGCAGCCCAGAGCCAAGGCTGGGAATGGTGGGGCATACTTCGGATGCTGGTCAGGGCCCTGAGACCTCTTAGGGGACGTTGGCTGCAGCTGGTGGGGTGGGCTGTCTCCATACCACTGCAGTGGCTCCTCCACGCCCAGGCCTGTGTTGCTGTGGGAACTGTGTGTCAGGCAGGGACAAAAGAGGCTGGAGACTGCATCTTCCCGCTCTCCCTCCAGCTCCCACACATACCTGTGGCAGGGCCCGGGTGGAAATAGCGGCCCTCACTGTTCCTGGCAGCTGTCCTTTGGGTGTCCTGGTAGCTCCTGGTGGTGCAGCTGGACACGGATCCCCCACAGCGTGGACCTCTGGCAGTGCGCAAGCCCATAAGCCCTGTGACTGCCTGGGCTTGCATGTGGACTGGTTGGGTTTCTCTGCCCAGTCTTCCGCCCTACTGGGGTTTACCTAGGGGCAACTGGGCTCCGGAAACTGCCAGTCAGGCCTCGGTGAGCCGGCTTCACTCCTGCTTCTGGGAACCCTTTGTCCCCAGCATCCTGAGACCATTGTAGCAGGAGAGCCATTCACCTGGGAAAGGAGCTTCTCGGGACCCCCGGTAGGGCCCTGGGGGGCCCAGAAAGAGCTGTGTGTTTGTGCCACCACCCGCTGAAACCATGCTGAACAGAGGGTGCAGGCAGGGTTGGTATGTAGGGGACCTGTGAGCCAGGGATGGCCCCACAAGTGCCACCTCCCCTCAGGACCTGGTGAACATCGAGATGTTCCTGACGGCCAAAGAAGTGGAAGAGTCCCTAGAGCGGCGCGAGACAGCCACCTGCCTGGCTTGGTGCCATGACAACAAGTCCCGCCTCCGCAAAATGAAGGTGAGCAGGGTGGCGGAAGGCAGAGGGCTGGGGCCGGCTGTTGGCAGGAGGGGGCGCCAGCGCCGGCTGTGGGGTGGGTGGGCGGGCCACAGTTACCTGTTGGCGTGGGAGCTCTGGGGAGATTGCCTGCTGGCAGGATCCTTGGAATCTGTGACCTATGGCACTTTGTGGGGGTTGGTGACTCTGCAGTGTTGGGGGTGGCTTCTCCCGATTTTAGATGAAAGCTCCAAAAGGTGCAGCTGCCAGCATTAGGGATGTGCAGGCTGGCAGTAGGGCACAGCCAGCGATCCTGCAGCTATCTGGGCAGGTTGCCCTTGTGCGCCTGAGGGGCTGCGTCCTGGGAGTGAAGTTGAGAATTCACTCCTAGTCGAGAGCTGAGCTGTCTCCGGCATTAGCTTGCCTTCCGCAGCCCCTGCCATCCGTCTGTGAACCCCGCCTGGTGAGGCCTGTCGGAGGCAGGAGGCAGCAGGTACGAGTGACCTCTGCCCTTCGGGCAGCCAAAGAGTAGAGCAGAGCCGAGTGGCCCCTGGCTCCTCTGAGAGTGAGCGAATCACCCGAATACAGTGCAAGAAGTGGTGGCTGGGTACAGGAGTGGGGTCCAGGTGACTCTGCCTGAGGCCTGCCCTGATCAGGCCAGTGGACTCTACTGGAGAGCTGGCTGGTGCCAAACCTGCCGCTTGGCACACAGCTGCCCCACTGCAGGAGCACGGTGTGGACACCGCCCCCAGCCTGCGGCCTGCAGCCAAGGCATGGGGCATGAGTTGGGAGAGGGGTGTTTCCAGGTCGTCCTTGGGACTGAAGTAGGATCGAGCAGCCGAATGGGACAGGGCCGGCAGGTGTGCTGTAGGCCTTCTGGCTGAGTGTGCCTAAGGAAGGCAGTAGCGGAGGATCTTGGGGCATGCGGTATGTGTGTAGAATTGGCTCAAGAGATGGCTGTCCACCCAGCAGCCCCCACCTGGGGCCTGAGGCTAGCCTGGGGGCTGGTGTGGGGGAGGCCAGGCTGACAGGACCCTGTGGGAGTCCGAGCAGTGTCTGCTGCCCCTTCATGACGCCACTGATTGAGCTGTCTGGCTCCCCAGAGCTGCCTGGAGTTCAGCCTCCGGATCCAGGAGTTCATCGAACTCATCCGGCAGAACAAGAGACTGGATGCTGTGAGGTGGGTTGCAGGGGGGTACCCCCTCTACCAAATGCCTGGGCCATGGGTCCCCTCTCCCTTGGGACATGCTATTGGCTCTCACACATTGCTGGCCTGAGCTGGTGTGCAGTGGCCTGTGGCCATGGGGGCTCATGGTATCCATGCAGCCTGCAGCCTGCAGTCAAGGCATGGGGCATGAGTTGGGAGAGGGGAGCTGGGCAGGCTCTTCCACTTGCAGCTGGTGAGGCCCCACTCCCCAGCCCAGCTGTGCTACTGTGTGTCTGCATTTGCATCTGGGGGTTCCCTGAGGGCGGCTCTGTTGAGGTTCCTTCAGCTCTGAGGAGTTTGCAGCTGTGGGCAGCGGGCTATAGCCTGCGCAGTGGAGCCTCCTGTGCCCAACCCCTGGGGCTGTATCTGGGTGGGCAAGGGCAACCCATCCAGGGAGTACCTTGCCAAACCTGGCACAAATCTTAAAAGAGAAAATTTACAAAGGGCTGGGCTGCTTATCTGTCCCTGGGGACTGGGGAGTGAGTGGCCGTAGTCACTGAGGGTCCTGGAGGCCCAAGGTGAGGCACCTCCACCCAGGACCTGCCAGCAAAGGCCACATGCGGTCTGTGTGCAGGCACGCGAGGAAGCACTTCAGTCAGGCCGAGGGCAGCCAGTTGGACGAGGTGCGCCAGGCCATGGGCATGCTGGCCTTCCCACCCGACACGCACATCTCCCCATACAAGGTGAGCCCCCCTCTGTCTTCTGAAGAAGGTTCTGGAAACATTCTGGTCCACGTGCCCACTGTTCCATCCCTCTTTTTCATAGGTTCTCAGCTATACTGGGTCTGCCCCCTGGCTCTAGATGGCCTTTGTGCTCTCATTGGCTTCTGGCCCTTTTCTGGGAGGGCCATTGCTGGCCAGGGCCAGTGATCTGCTCCTCCCAGGCCTGGTGGCCTCATACACCTGGCTGAGGTGGGAGGACCATGGGCTCACTATGTCACTATGTCAGCTTCTAGGCATGGCCCCCTGCGGAGGAGGAAGTGCAGTTCCTGGTGCCAGGACCCTGAAGAGGACTTGGGCACCAAGCTGTGCTGACCTTGAATGCGGCAGGGGTCAGCCCTCCCACCCAGCCCCTCTGCCTGTATCTTCCAGGACCTCCTGGACCCGGCCCGGTGGCGCATGCTGACCCAGCAGTTTCGGTACGACAATTACCGGCTGCACCAATTGGGGAACAGTTCCGTGTTCACCCTCACGCTGCAGGCTGGCCTGTCGGCCATCAAGACCCCGTATCCTCTGCGTGGCCACCACAGGAGGCTGGGAGGGGTGCAGGGGGAGGGAAGGAGCAGTGATTCTATTTTTTGAAAATATTATTTTGATGATATTTCCATAGTTGAGAGGGATGCATGCCCATGTGGACCACTGATTAGGGTGGGAGAAGCCAAGGCATTGGGGATAGTGGATGAGACCATTATTTCCACATTTTTTTTCCTGTATCCGGCACAAGAGGGGAGAGAAAGGGAGAAACCACACCCAGCATCCTAACAGCGTCAGTCCCCAGGGATGGGCAACAGCCACCCAGTGTCTCCCAGGGTCCCCAGTGTGGAGCATGCTTTGAGGGGATTCTACTCAGGTGGCTTCAG